TGATTTAAAAATGTAAACTGTAGTCTGTCACCTGAACTGAAGACTTTTTTCTAAATCATTCAAGTTTGAACCATCCAAGGTATTTGAAAACTTTTGGTGTTAATAAGTACAGTACAGGTATCCCAAAAATATGAAATAAGTTCACAAACAAGAAAAAACCCTTCCTAACTAATGATAAACAGTACACAACTACAACTGACCTTCACTTTATGCTATGGTTGCGTTCTGTGACAACACAGCATATTAGGAATCCACATAAAGTGAATACTTCATCTTATGGGGAAAATGAGGATAATGTTCCACAACTACTAAAAGTCAACAGTAATGCTATAAAAGTTGTGGAAAAATCATTACAATACTCTAATGTGGGTAAGAAACAAAGATAATATAATATAAAACTATAAAAATATAATATAAAACTACAGTGTAAGCTAAGACATATGATGAGCATGGGTGTTTGGGTAGAAAGCGAAAGTTGTAGAGTAGCTGACTCACCACTCCAGCTGCGTCCCGTGACGTCACATACAGCGCACGCATGCACACACACTACACTGTGCCACACTTCACAACCATTTTTAGAACATTAATGCTCTAAAAGTTGTAGAAAATCATTATAATACTCTAATGTAGAGTGCCATATCTTCTACAGAATGCATAATAGGGAATCTTTTCCACATAAAATGAATTGTGGGGAAAAAAAAAAGGTCGCCGCATAAATGCGAATTCTCATAAAGTAAATGCGTATAAAGCGAGGGTCCAGTATACAGTACAGTAGAACATCCATGTAACGCGAATAAATTTAAAATTAATGATTTAATGCGACACCCACAATTAAGGACAACGTATAAATTTAAAGCAAATATTTCCTATTTTACGCGAATCAAATCTGGCTCATCATATGGAAATACAGGTACCTAGCGCGTGCGACACACTCAAGGGTGACGCCGAACATTGTCCCACGTGGCCAAAGATTGACCCACGCAGGTGTGAGGTAACAGTTGTGTCTCAGCAGAATATAACTTGCACTGCTGGAATCCTTGCAAGACAGCGAATAATTTGATTAGAGACATCATATATTTTGCACAAGAGATAAAAATTTTAGTCCTATAGTGTGGAAGAATTAAGTATACGTTTTTCAACTCATATTTTTGGGTAGATATACATAACTTTCTTCATTTATTTTTACTCATTTACAGGCATACACCATCCTGAATACATACTGTGAAAAAAGTAAAAGAAATAAATGTTCTAAGGGCAAACCTGTACTGTACTAAAGAATTACTAAAATTTTTATGTCTAGTGCAAACTATGCAATATGCATGTTTCTATTCAAATTAATCACTAACTTACAAGGATTCCAGCAATGTAAGTTACATTCTGTCAAGTCAATTCAGTGACATTTTATAAGCTAAAAAATTAAACTCCCTCTATATGACTGATAACGAGGCACTGGGTTCAGTAATCTCCCCGCCGGCTGATCAATACCTCACCTCACCCCCTCTCCTCTCCCTTGCCCTCAACCACCGACACACTATTTTAAGTTTCGTGCTTAATGTTTCCCGCCAAACGCCACTCTGGGCACCCCCTCCCCCCACACCCTCCTGCATCCTCAGTTCTCGCGCCGATGCTCTAGTTACTCTAGTAAAAGTACCATCCAGCTCTCAACTCAACTGCAGGGAGTGCTTGCTGCAATATATCATTATGCCATTTATTTTTCTCATATTTATTAGTTAATAAAAATCTTTTTTAGTATTTTGTGTTTCCCTCAAGTACCAAACTAAATTATTACATTGAAACAACACTTCGACTTAGTGCGAATTCAATTTAAAGCGACCTCTCTTGGAACGTATCTCGCGTTAATCCACGTTCCACTACTATTATTTACTACCTAACATGTGAAATTTCTACCCAACACGTGATTTTTTTTTTTAAATACTGTTTTAAAGATACCACCATGTGGGAACACCTCCGAGGTACTGCGCTACGCCAAGCACCGAAAAGAGTGGATCTCCTGTTAGGTCTGGATGTACCACAAGCACTAGCACCATTTGAAGTAAGGACTGAGAAGGACGGAGTGCCGTTTACAACACGCACCCTTCTAGGCTGGACTATAAATGGGCCGCTTGGAACGGTGAGCCGTGATTGTGCTGTGATCAACCACTTCGTCAGAATGGCAACACTGAACTCTGAGACAAGTCTGGAAAAACAAGTCAGGCATTTCTGAGAATGCGACTCCATCTACAGTAACGATGATCCCGTCTCTGTCGAAGATAAGAGAGTCCTAATGCAGTAAGTAGTAGGCAGCTACCAAACAGGGAGGTACTACCACCTGGGAAGATATTGGAAGCATAATGTATTGTCTAATGGTATACCTTGCTGCCATATGGCATCACGAAAATTGTGACCCAGTCCCAGGTTGCTGATCTGACTTTCTGCCTCATTTACACACAATTACAGGGTCTCAATTGTTTCTCTTACTTTGACAACACAACATACATATATTGTTTCTCACTCTTGATTTTTATTTTCATTTTTGTATTTCTTTCATTATTATTATTATTATTATTATTATTATTATTATTATTATTAGACAATGAACGATTCAACACTTTGTTCTGCCTAACAGAGGAGATCGTCAATGGAAGGCCCAACACCCCAGTGTCTGACGACCCAAAAGATCTAGAAGCACTAAAGTCGCTTCACATACTATGGATGAACCCGAAGACACTGCCCACTGGAGGCGATTGGTCCATGGCAGAAGCGTACCGACGAAGATGGAAGCATGCCCAATTCATCGTGGACCAATTTTGGAAGAGGTGGGTATAGGAATATCTCCCGACAATACGTCAGCAAAAAAAATTCTTCAAAACTCGCCACAATCTCCGCACTGGGGATATTGCGATCATCTCTGGACAACCCCTCCCCAGGAATCAGTGGATGCTAGGGAGAGTACTGGAGGCACTACCGAACGAAGATGGCCTGGTGCAAAGTGTTAAAGTGAAGACAAAGGAATCGGTGTTATTACGCCCAGTGACGAGAGACTACCTGTTGGAAGGGGTTGGAGAGAGTGAATCTAATGGTATGCCGTGATTTCGAGCAAAGCCCAACAGGGGGTAGTGTTATCGCCACGCACAATTGTGCGTGCCGGCCACATGTTAAATGAAGAGACTATTGACAACTCGGATAGCTTACTAAGCGAGATGAAGCTGGTAGCAGCTGTGTGACTGTCTGAGGGGCAGACCATCGCCTTCTACTGTAGAGGCAACATCTTGATTCTCGTCAGCCAACATCTTCCTGCAGGACATTATATTTGTTCTCGTTGGTCTAACCCTAGACCCCAAAACCTGAGTGTGATTGTGAACTGTTGAATCCTCTGAGAACTCTAAATAACTTTAATAAGTGTATTTATTTATTGTATATTGATCATATTATTCAAATTGTGTGTCCTGATGTATCAGCAGTTATTATATGTGAAATGTATTCAACGAGGGTTTTATTGTCCTGCACAGCCACAATTGCTCCTATGGGCGATTACATAATTAATACCTCAATACATACACGAAAATTTCATTAAATCTACCAAAAATAACTGCTGTATGGGACAGAAAACACTCAAAACACCTAGTTTACAAGATTATAATACAAAATTATGCCTCGGCATAACAATATTTTTTTTTTACATTCTGTTTGAAGTATTGTGTGTGCATGTAATTGAATAAAAAAGATATGAAGAAAGTTATGTTCATATACACAAAATTATGAGTTGAGAAATAAACATAACATAACTCCTACCCCAGCCTGGTAGAGAGAGTGCTTGGGGAATGTGGTTGCCCCAGCCAACTCCCGGGGGCTCGCAATTTGAATTTTAGCCCAGACCCAAATTCGTATAAGTGGGGGGAGCTTTCATATCTTGAAATAATGGCGTCAATCTAGGAAATTCATATGAGCAAATTTTCATATCTCAAACATTTGTATCTCGAGGGATACCGGGTACCTGTAAATCATTCAGCTGTAAATTCAACATTGCAGAGACTGCATTTAAGAGGGATGATAGTATAAAAATATCAACTTTTTACAAATATAATATTTCTGTTAGCCGAAATCCCTCAAACACGGAACTCTCCAATACTCTGAATTTAAATTTCTCAGAAAATTGTTCCCAAAGCTGGAATTTTCCCAATACCTGAAAAAATTCTGGGGATGGGGGAGTTTATCCCGGGTTTGAGAAATGACAATCAAGCGCATTTTCCGTAAATTCTGAGAAAATTTTTTGTGTGTTTTGTATCATCACACTCATGAAGTAAGATACTGCGGTCATATTTAATGAGCCATGAATGAAAAATAATGTGTAATTTCCATGTGATGGTTTATTCTTAAATATTCTAAAATTGATATAAACATCATGAAACAATATACAGGTATATCTTGCATATAAAACAAGAGCAACAGTTTGTAAACATGCAAAAGAAGAAAATCGCAATATTAATTCTAATTACGAAAAATTTATTAATTTTCAGAAGATATGTTATTTCTGGTGTATTAAGTTGACGCTTTTTCAGTGAAAATTAATTACTAAAGATTGCAACTCTTGAAACTGTGTGACCAATACACACAACTATCAACAACACCTAATACTGTATACAGTGGTCCCTCCATTAACGAGGACAATTGGTTCCACAGAGTCACGCGTCAACTGAATCTTTTATTTCAGTGGGATATTGGGTAACTGGTTCCAACTCACAGAATTCCCTTTAAATTAATTAAAAAGTACATACAAAGTACTGTATATGAGTCATAGAATTAGCAAACCATTAAATACTGTATAAACAAAATTCAGTACAGTACTGTACTGTCCAGTATACTGTACAATAATAAATAAAAAACAATAAAATATTTTAACACTTACTTTGAGGTGAGTATGTAGAATGTTGCTGGTTGAGTTGAAATGAGGAGGAAGATGAAGGGAATTGGAAGTGGGGGTTCACAACAATTTATTTAACTAATTCTTGATTTTTTTATTTAAGCCAACACTGCAGTGTTTATTGTCAATATGTTTACTAAATTTCAGAGTGACCATTAATTTTAATGTAAAAATGCAAAAATATTCAAGAGCACAACTTTCTCGGTGTTTACTCCACTGGAAACAAAGCTAAAGAGAGAACAGATTATTGGTGGGCGAGTCGATCAGCAGATGCGCACACCAAAACGTGTTTCTCGTAAGGATGTCATTAATAGAATTTGTACTCATTAATAAAACTGAAAGACCTTACAGGAGGTAACTCGTTAACTGAAATCTCGTAAATTGAACCGCTCGTTAATGGAGGCTCCACTGTACTTGTACTGTACTGTATTTACTGTACTGTATATCAGAAATAATCTACATGAATAATAAACAGTAAAATACAGTACTACACTCCATATCTCATCACTACCTATATTAACATGTTTAATAAAAAAAAAATGTGTGCGTGTATGCTGCACAGGTAAAAAAAATATACAACAAATCAACATTTGCTTATTTCTCTACATACAAAAAATATTTGTGGCACTTATAAAAAGAAAAAGTCAACATAAGCATTTTAAATTTGTAAAGTAAAAGTGAGCAGAAAATTACAAACTTAATTCAAAAGCATTAAATTTATATTCAAAATGTCCATCATGTAGTATGTACTGTAGTGCACATTTGTTTAATTGCAACCTGTGCTTATAAAATAAAGCATTTCATATCCAGTAACTGGAAGACAGATACCATCCCAATGAGGTATATTTATATTGAGCAAATTGAGAAGATTGATAATGGTTACTTCTCAATGATGTACTGCACAAAAGGAATTCATAAATAAATATTTCATTAGCTTATTCTAATGGTTGCTTAGGATATGACACTGCACACCAGTAAGTCACAAGTACAATTTCTTTAATGTACACCATCAGTTCTTACACATTAAATTACTTTATTCTACTGGTTGCCTCTGATGACATGATACTGCACACCATCAATGTCCACTATATTAACATCTGGGGGAACAACATTGGCTGGCATTAACAAGGCTGATCTAGTTCCCTGATAACTGATACTTTCAGCAAAACTGAAAATGGTCTGTTCCTCTTTAGGTTCTTCTGACTGAAAGTCTTCATTATTTACATCAATCTGCATAACAGCGACTGCAGTTTCATCCATTTCTGCCAACTGGATAGATTCCTCTACAACTTCCTTTGGCTCTTGGGGTACATCAATCTCAATAGCATGAGTTTTCAAAAGGTGACGGTTGAGTTTTTTTCGGGTAGGAAACATTATATTACACATTTCACAAGGGTTAGACATCATAATTTTGCTATGTAACTGGTCAGTCAATGCCTGCTGCTCAACAATTATGCTGTCACTGGAGGACCCACCATGAGCAGTTCTCTTGTGTGTATACAGATCATTCTTTGATATAAAAGTTTGCATGCATATCTGACAAGTAAAACCATTTTCAGTATTATGAACATCCATATGCTTATCAAAAGAAATTTTAGTCCAAAATGGAGCAAGACATTTACTACATTTGTACATTTTAGGTACTTTATTGTGTATCCTTCTTTGGTGAATATTAAGAGCACCTTCTGTCCTTGCACTAAAATCACATTCACTACACTCATGTTGAGGTGGCGTTTCTGAATTGTGTGCCTTGTCAACATGCTTATTCATGAGAAATTTGAATGGGAACATTCTAGGGCACAATGGACAGGGAACTGTCTTTTCTGAGTGTTTAAGTTTCATATGCATATCTAGAGAACTTCTTGTTTGAAATACTTTGTCACAAACGTCACACTGTGAATCATGATTTCTTCTGTGGATCCAGAAAAGACCACTGCACCTCAGCATCACACCACAGATCTCACAAGGGCCCCTATGCTGCTGTTGGTGATATATTAGCTGTCGTTCACCACTGTACAGTCTCTTGCAGTGCTGGCAGCAGTATGGGTATTTCTTGGCCTGTTCATGTTCACTATGGTCTCTAACAATGTGTTCCCTCAAGTAATGATGCTTTGAGTATAATTTACCACATACCTCACATACAAAATTTTTCTCCTTACTGTTATAAGGATGACGTTTTTTCTTCCATTCTAACTTAAAAGCTAAATCTATATCCATTTCTTCTTCGGCATCCATTTCATCATCTGTTATCCAATCATCCATATTAACCTCAACTTCTTCCTTAATACTGATCATTTCTTTCACTGCCTCCTTACCTTCCTCAGTTTGCTCTGGCTGTTGCTCCACACACTGTTGTGGGAAGGATGACATCTTGCTAACAGAGGAATGGTTATCTTCATGTGGTATCTTGACACCATAATTACTAAAGTCTGCAGGATATTTCAGATACTTTTTTTTTTCAGAATAACCTGATTTTGTCTTGTATTTCCTCCTTTTTTTCGATTTTAGCTTCATTTTCTGCCAGAAGGCAACATCATTATCTGAGCTAAATTCACTGTCTTCAGGGTTTTTTTCATCTGGAAAAGATAAGGAAATTACCGTATTGTTTGTGTAACATGCATGTCCCTTCTGATGTAAAAAACAAATAAATGTTGACAATCTAATCAGATTGTTCAAGGAAACCATACCGAAGTCTACAAACTTTCCCAGCTCTATCCTGGATTCTTTTTTGTTTAATCCTCTCAAAAATCTGTTGGTAGGTTAGACATACAGACATATACTATACACTATATATAGTGAGGGCATCGAAACACTGTACAGTATAATGTAGTCAAGAAAGATAGAAATATTCCTCAACATGTTGATGAACCCAGGGTCAAAAACTTGTAGTAATGTCATCAGTTTTCACCTGTTCATTAGCTCCTAACTTTCTCTTCATTTTTCTATACCATTTTTTAGCATTCTACAATTAGAATCGAACTCACACATAAATTCCAACTTAAAGACAAACAATTCTTATAATTTACCTGACTTAATGTCTTAGCATTTCAACAATATTTTCCTGACAATTGACTTTTGGTTTTATAGATGTGACCAGTGCTATAACTTGGAAATGATTAGATTAAGTAGTTTTATGTACATTTCCCTCTACATCTAGGTTAAGGCACAAGTTTTTATTATACAGCTCCTCCCCGACTTACGGCCTACTCGACTTATGACCACCCGGACGTACGACATCCTCAGTCTTACCAGAATTTTGTCAAATTACGTATTTTCGAGTCCTGACGTCAGTGACTGCGCTGTGTACTCAAGAAAATTTTTGTTTGTAATTCACTTTAAAATGGCTGGCAAGCTTAAAAGTGAGAGTTTTGTGGTGCTGAGAAGAAAATGAGACACCCATTTTAGATTTTATATGTATTATTTAAGCATTTTCGACTTACGACCATTTCAACTTAACGACCTGGATTTGGGTCCCTAACCCAGGCGTAACTCGGGGAGGAGCTGTACTTTCACATTGGGAAATTACTATCTGGGTACTTTATGTTTAAATTCTTTACATAAACAACTGATTCTTAACACTCTTGAGTTTAGAGAGATACTCTCCAGCAAGACATTCAAGGTCTGGCTAGTCACTTACCTCACCACACTTGACTGCACCACACGAGAGATAATTGTACGTAATGAGTCATAACAAGCTTGCTATTTGAGATAAAAAGGTGGGGTTTGCTGCATTAGCCTTGTAAATAAATTATCTACTAACAGGTTTATACGATTATTCACGATAAAATAATTATTTCCTTATGTCAGAGCAAGTAGAACACAAAATTTTTTTTATGCTTAATGAAAATGTTTTTATCACTTTATACCTTCGTTTTTTCATGTGACTGCAGCATGAACTTTATTCCATTATAAAGTGTTACAAAGTGAACATGTTTAGCAAAAAATAGTTATAGAAGAAAAGTTGTAAAAAAATTAATATTTTGAGAAGTAACAGTGGTGTAAATTGTGTGTTCTGATTAGCACGCCCAGGCCGAGTACAGATTATAATTTTTTTTCCCTCTGAATTCAAAAGATAATTGTACTTATTGAGTCATAGCAAGCTTACTATTGGAGATAAAAAAGGTCGGGTTTGCTGCATTAGCACATTAAATACATTATCTACAAATAGTTTGATATAGGTCATCACAATAAAATTATTAAATCTATACGTAAGCACAAGTATAACACAAATTGTCGTGCATGACTGCCATTCTCGCTCCCAAATGTGAATGTTCCTCACTCAAAGATTCTATATTTCTTACATAAAAGATACATAATGTGTTTATCAATGCTTACTATTTTCGAAATTCATATGAAATAATAATTGTAAATTAATGGTAATATGTAATGCATAAAAGTCTTACCTTTTTTTTTAAGAAAATAAAATTAATTTCTTAACTTATATGTTGTTAGATGTTGGAGCACTTGGTGTTGTTCCTCCTCCCTCCCGCCCTTTCCCCTACTCTTTCGTGCCCCACAGTGCCATACTTAGCCTGAACAAGGCGACATAATCTAGTTTTAGTGGGATTACGGGTAGTGCTCACTTTGAGGGAGATGAGCGGCTACGAGGTAAGCCACGCTGCGATGACTGAGGAATCACATGTACAACACTTTTTATTTTTCCTTCTAGCTACAGTGACATGCTGGGCAGTTGTTTTTACACTAGGACTGCTTGTTGAATGGTCAGATAAACTATCACTTGCACTAGAAGGGCCAGGGACACTGGGAGAGACCTCAGGAGGCACCACACTATCACCATGTGGTACAATCTCTTTTTACGTTTTCCCACCCCTCCGCCCTCGCCAGCAACACGAAGCATGGTTCAAAACTATCACAAAACTGTTATCAATAAATAAAGTCACTGTGATGTACAAGAAATCAGCACAAGCCATGAGAAAATGGTGGGAAATGTAGGTCAAAGTTACGTCCTCTGCCGTTGAACCACAAAGGGCGACTGGTGTGGTCACGTAACCTTGGAGGTAGTCTACATAGATGCCACATCACACTGACATTACCAAATGTGTGTCTTGTGTATCTAGCATTCATAAGCAAACATGAAATTATTTTATTGTAATTCTTTAGTTAATATGCAAATTTGCATATGAAAACTCTAAAGCGATAATTTAGATCATACGCAAATTTGCGTATGAAAATCCCAAGAATGTGAATAGTTTATGTATCTGAAATGCATATGAGTAATACCTCTAGTGTGAGTAACAATGGTTTCTGTATACCATAACATATGAGGATGGTTGGATATAATTATATAACTACAGTATTGGAAATATATCCTTAACTGAAAGAAATAGGTACTGACCATCTTTCGAGTATAAAGAGAGGGCAGCTTCATCAGCAAGTCCATCACTGTCCATGTGGTCGCCAGGCAGGTCAACACGTTGGTTCTCTTTATTAGCAGAAAAACCAAGAATCACATCTTCAATTGTCTGTTCCAGGTGGACATCTTTATTGGTAATCGTAGCTGGATTTTCTGGTTGCTCTGTTTTTACTTTTATCTCACTGTTTGTGTATAAAGATGGGGTGGTATCCCTGCAATCTGTAGATATCCCAATACTAACTTTAACAGGAATGTCAGCCTGAGTGGAGGCTTCACCAATGGCAGGTAACAGGCTACAAAATATTAATGGGATGGAAGTCTTACTGGTGTATTCAAGGTCCGTCTGACATGAAACATTTTTAAATATAATTGTTCCAGTTTCAGTCGCCTCCAATATGGTCTCAGAATCTGACTCCAGCTCCCCAATGACTACTATCATCATGTCATTCTTATCCATGATTCAATTATCTTGACAAAAGGGCTATAGTACCAATAAACACCCACAAAGTTTTAATTACTTTGAGTAAATCCACCCAAAATGGTCATTCAAGTAATATTGTTCAAGATAAATCCAAAAGTACTGGTGGTTGTGGACCTCCATGCATCTTGAGCAATCCTCCTCCATCTTCAAGCCATTCCAAAATCTTTAAAACAAAAGATTCATAAAATAGAATAAACAAATACTTCTACAGTAATATTTATATATCGTGGTTGGGGAATAAAGATCCAGGAGTTGTTTTCCAAGGGACAAAATAAACCTATTTACTGCCATTTCACAAACATTTACAGTACTCTACAGTATCAATGTCAAACCTGTCAAATAAATAAATTAACATAACAAACACCAGAAAATATATATATTTTTAAAACTAATGTAATATACTGTACAGTATTTACACTGAGGCTGGGATGTACAGAGTGAAGAGGTGGCTACTCAGAGTGGCTGAAGAAGTTTTGAGGCAAATTAGATGGTACTACAGTACCAATCCACATCCTGGTCAGAATCCAGCAGAATTGATGCCCTGTGGGTAAAGAAAGAGGCTTCACTGGAGGCTAGTGTTATGGACCTGAGCATGAAACATAGGGACAAAAGAGGCTTGAAAAAGCTGTCTGCCTTGGACAACTGCAGCCCCTTATATTGTTGCCTCACCTAAGTAAATTTTATGTACAGTACAACAAAACCTCGTACAGTCATACCCCACAAAGAGGGTAAAATTATTCTTGGAAAGTTGTCCTTAGTGTGAAATTAAATAAAGAGAACCCAATTTTCCTATCTGGCTCTACTGTTACTACAGAGATGTATCCCGTGAAAAATTAGTCACCCTAAGATGTAATAAAATCACACTTAAATGTAACAATTTTAAACACAAGTTTAATGGAAAGTAATTACAGTATTTTATGGTGATACTTTATAAAAAATGCTGTACACAAAAATCTTAAATTCAACTGACTAAAAAGGATGATGACCAATGTGTGAGGTGGGAATGTATTATATTTGTCAGTAGATGGAATAGGAGTTACTGGGAGGAATAAGAAGCAGCAGTAAAGGCATCAGCCTCACCCCATGATCCTTTCAAACCAACATTCACAAACTTGAAAAGGTTTTGTTCCATAACTCCCATCTTGCTCATTCTGCAAATCATAACACAGTACTGTACAAGCTTCTTACCTTCTGAATTACTACAGTGGTCCCGCGGTTAACGAGCACAATTTGTTCTAGAAGGTTGCTCGTTAACCGAAAAATTTGTTAACCGAAACCATTGTTTAAATGGGTTTTGGGGTAATTGGTTCCAGCTCACCGAAAATTGCCTAAAGTCAACAAAAAAGGTAGTAAAGTACACTTACTTTGAGGTGTGTATATAGAAGGCTCCTGGATGATGATGATGTAAAATAAATTTCAAAATGACCAATAATTTGCTTGGAAACACAGAAAAAAATGCGTTTAGTTGAAGAGAGTCTCAAGCAAGATGTTACCAGAGACTGACGCCTGTTTGGTGTGTTGACAGGCTGTTTGGCGCGCATAAAACTAGTTTCCTGTACATGTACTTCAATTATGTTCAATAATTGTTAAAATGACTAAAAATTTTAATATAAAACTTTTAAAATAATTGAATAGTACAAACTTCTTGATATTTACTAAAATAGTAAGGAATTTAAGCCCTAGAACCGATTACTGTATTGGCGGACTAATACTACAGCTGGTGGGCAGCCAAATGCAAGCAAAAACATGTTGAGGTCGGCTCGTAAGAAATTCGTTAATCCAGGGATTGCTCGTTAACCGAAGTTAAGAATCCTATGGAAGGTAATTCGTTAACCGAAATCTCGTTAACCGAGGCGCTCGTTAACCGAGGGATCACTGTGTATGTACTGTACTGTATTACTGTACTTTACAGTAATTAAATTTATTGGCTCATTACACTGTTTCTGATCTTCAATCCACACACTTAGAAGTCATATTATACAGTACTGTACTGTACTCACATTACTTTTATAAAAGAAGAACATATAAGCACTTGAAGTTGTAGTTGCTCAAGCGCTTGCCATAATTTTGCCTCTATTACCATACAAATTGTACCCATTGCTGACATTACCAACCCTAATGATGACATACTTACAGCAAATCTGATTTTCTTTAATCCTACTCTGTACCCTGTATTGATGAAGCCCTCGCAGTGATTGGTGTTTACATAAAGTCTGAGAGTTACAGATACATTAAATATATAAACAACATGTGCCTGTTAAGGTGCACACAGGACAACCATAAGCTTACATAACATTTAATGATAATATTCATTTCCACAGCCACCTTAATTCATTGTTAAGGGGTTGGTTTTTAAGGAAACACCCCCCCTCCCCCCAAAAAAAAAATATATATACTGTATATATTTCACATGAGATTTTATTAGCAGTGGTTCTAATAGCCTATCCTTTAATCATAAATTACTTGTTAGTGGGCAGGGCATGAAAGAAGAGGGAAAAAATGAAGTAAAAACACTGCAAACACAGATCATCTGATAGTAATTCCATGTCTCTACATCCTTTATAGGCAAAGAAATAAAATATTTATTGTAATTAAGGCGCCATCGGATCTCCCGTGGCGACCATCTTTTGGTTCACATTGTCCGCTATATGGGAGCAACCGCAGTCTATGTTTACATGTCAATCAACCAACAACAATCACATCGGGCACGTTTATTATGATTTATATTAAATTGAATTTGTTAATTTTTTCTATGGATGCTGTTTGGATGAAAGTAAGTAAATTGAAATGACAATGCGCATGTTGAAGGTAGGTGAAGTTAGATAAGATTAAGTAAGTTTAGGTAAGGTTAGGTAGGATAGGTATGGTTAGGTCAGGTTCTAATAGGTTCTGTGCATGCTCACTTCCATTTTGTGTTCAGTATCAAGCAATAGTATCTCCGGAAATTTTGATCCAACATCATGAGTCATTTCCTGTGCTGTCTCCTGCACCATTAATAAAACTTAATTCTGAATCCATTTTCTTCTACGCTATTCCTTCTAAAAATTGCTATTAATGGAGATATAAGCAATATTTGAATCAATTAAAATGAGTGTTGACAAAATCAGCGTGTCAAATAGGATGCAAGGTTCAAACAAGGAACACAGCATTCAATAAGGTTAGGCTTTAAGGTTAGGTAGTGCTCCCCTGGCCTGTTCTCCCCCACAATTTCCCTCTAACTCACAGCCCTGCCCACTTTTGTAAACTTTAAAATTATTGTATGGAGGGGGCATATCTTCATAACAGCTCACCCGCACAAGAAATACCAGTAATTTATGAGGAACCCACTACCAGCAGAAGGAGCTGTTCAATTTCATTCATTTTTTCCAAAGATGTTCTTATCATTCTAGTAAGTATTTTAAAAAAGACTACTACTTTTTATTTTAATTATAGGTATGAATATTTGTTTAAGTTACTCTTAATCTACGATCATAAATCACCTGTAGTGTGCAGTGTCATTCCACTTGGAAGATTCCCATGTGGATGATCATCTGTTTTATGTGAATTTTAGCCTTTTTAGTTACATGATCAGGTTAGGTTAGGTCAGGTTAGGAAGTGGTTAGGGGCAAATATTTAGAGGTTACTACTACCTACAGTACTTAGATATTGAATCTTATATAGGGACAAAGAAAAATTAAATCAATACTTACTAGAATGATAAGAACATTGGTATACCAGAACAGGTGAAAAAAAAAATAAGATATGGTCAACGTGTAGATTAATGTTGCCAACGATTCTAGCAAGAACACATGGTTTTTCCACCATAATTTTCGTTGTTAATTGCTAGTGACAGTGTTCTCTTTTGGGGAAGTATTTCTTTTTTTATAATTTATACTATAATACCGTCGGCGAGCCATAGGAGGGGAAGTGCGTAGTGCGCTGGTCGTCTGAATTGCATTACCATGCTATATAATACAGGACCCAATTCTGAAAAAAAAATTGCGTTTCCTCAATAGGGGAATACGTTACGTTAGGTTAAATAAGGATATGTTAAATACAGTACTGACAACAATATATAACCACCGGGGTGGAGGGGGGGAAGACCCTCATCAGAAGGTGAGAAGCCCCCACTATGGGGTTAGGTCAGGTTAGGTTAGGTTAAATAGGGAAAGCATTGTTTTTTTGGTATTATTTTACTTTAGGACATAGCACGCCCAAAAGCTATAAACTACTGAAACATTTACAACTTCTTATTCTGAGCATTTTGAACCCCATTTATATCATTCTGAAATGGAAAATAGTGACACAATTGAATTTAATTGATTTTACGTACTTTTCAGTCTTTGTCTGTGAGATGTTATCGTCGTGAAAGCGAGCTAATTATTTGAGTGTTTACATAATGTATCGGTGACGTCTTCCAGTCGCGACCAATGATATAGCAATCTCATCACGCAATTTTCTTTCGACCATATCAAAATTTAAATTTTTCAACGGGAGGAGCCAAGGTATGGATTTGAAGAGACAATGACTGTGGGAGAGGCTGGGTGTGAATCGTGTTCCTACAATTATTTTAAGTTTATTGCCGAGTTTTACGAGAAAGACGGTGAAGCTATCCGATTCCTACGTAATCACGGTGTTCTCCCTACGTCTGATGAGTGCCCGTACAGTAAATTGTCTTGTAAATTTAGAAAGAACAAGCATCAGAGGTTGACCCTGAACCTGTCCCTGATCCTTCCATTTCTAACTAAGGTATTGTACATTCGGACATGGAGCGTCCCAAAGTTTAAAACTACTAAAACATTTAGATCTCATTATTGTGAATCTTTTGAACCCAATTTATATTAGTTGGAAATGAATAGGATAGGTCAGCTTAGGTTAGGTTAGTTTAAGCTAAGCCTACCGGGGTCCGAGAGCGGAGCCTCCTGCTAGGAGTTAGGTTAGGTTTAGTTTGGGTTGGGTTGGGTTAGACGACTCGTTTTCGTGTTTTTCTTCATCCAAAACCCTGATTACCCAAGCTGTTCCCCCATCATAGATGGGGGGGGAGTAGGGGGCAAAAACTAGCAATTTCCGCCAAAAATAAAGGTCAAATTCGTTTAAAACACACCAAAATACACTGGAAAAACATATTGGTCAACCCCTAGGGATTCATGTCCTAAGTAAAAATTTACCCTCAACTGTGCTATATGTTCTGTAGTGAACACCCGTGTCTCCAGGTCCTGTACTTCGGTTTGTTCCTGTTCTAACACTGGACCCATGGTTGAGAGGTAAACCCACTCACCGAATGTTACCTTAAATATGAACATAGCTTCACTTACTTGCATTTTAATTAATAATTGATCTTAATGTAGCCGTCATTGTACCTTAAATCACCTCCACGGGACTTATTTTAGTGACAAAATTAATAAAACTCGATGTTTTTCAGTGGAAGATTCACCGCTGTCACTCACATTGTTTACTAATACAAACGATATATTGAGCCACAGATGGAGCTGGTGTACCACCTTAAGCCAGCCACACATGACTACTACTACCATTAATGTACTTATTACATGACGGCTCTATAAACTACTACCATTAATAACATTATCTTTTTATTATTACAAGCACTTTACCGTTAATGATAACGCTGCATGGCTGTACAGTACAGAGTATAAGCAATGCACACTCCAAACTTCACGGTTTAGGGAAGGAGGAATTGTCTGTGAATGAGGAAAGTTCAAATGGGTGAAGTTTGAAGAAGTGCAAATGGCTGAAATAGGGAAGTAATAATGATGAGCCCTTTATACTTAGGGTCCATGGAGAACTCCTGGGCTCTTTACATTTGGGGCCCATTTTGCCCTCCTGGAACCTTTAACCTTTATATGTGGGGTCCATGGTGCCCGTCTGGGCCCTTAATATGAGCTCCAAGGTGCCCTCCTGGGCCCTTTATATGTGGGGTCCATGGTGTCTTCCTGGGCCCTTTATATGTGGGGTCCATGGTACCCTCCTGGGCCCTTCATACGGGGTTAAAGGTGCCATCTTGGGCCCTTTACATGTGGGGTCCATGGTGCCCTCATGGGCCGCTTATATCTGGGGTCCATGGTGCCCTTCTGGGCCCTTTGTGGGGTCCATGGTACCTGCCCTCCTGGGCCCTTTATATTTGGGGTACATATTGCCCTCCTTAGCCCTTTATATTTAAGGTACATGATGCCCTTGTGGGCCCTCTATGTTTGGGTCCATGGCGCCTTCTTGGGCCTTTCATATTTGGCGTCCATAGCATCCTCATGGGCCTTACGACGGGGTTAGGGACCCAAATCCAGGTCATAAGTCGAAAATTTTTAAATAATACATATAAAATCTAAAATGGGTGTCTCTTTTACTTCTCAGCACCACAAAACTCTCACTTTTAAGGTTGCCAGCCATTTTAAAGTGAATTACAAACGAAAATTGTCTGTGTACTGAAGTTAGGACTCGCAAATACGTAATTTGACAAAATTTTGGTACGACTGAGGCAGGTCGTAGGTGTGGGTGATCGTAAATCAGGGAGGAGCTTACATGTATATTATGGGAGTACTCTTATCTTTTATATACCACTATGTATTATGTTTGTAGTATGGTCAAAGGAATGGTTGCCAAGATTCAGTGTTATAAATGCAAGAGGATACACCTAGGTGGTACGTACAGTACCAATATTAAGGAGGCTTATTACATAACCCAATGTGATGAAGAAACTGAATTGAAACCATATGAAAAAAAAAGAAAAAAAAAGACCTGGATGTTTATATTGACAACTGGCTTTGGCGAAGATCATACTCATGCCTAGATGGTCCGTCCCTCATACAGCTCTTCATTGCCTTGGTGTTTCTCAACTAGCAGTACAGGTAGTTCTGCTATAACGCGATAATTGTGTTCTTGTAAAATATCGTGTTATAGAAAATAGCGTAATAGAAATAACAGGGCTTATGGAGAAAATAGGGTTAGGTGCAGATTACTCGAAATCGAAAAAATTTAGTAGTTAGCCATACACAAAGGATAGCACAGTCTAAATAAATGTTACATTCATATCTAATAATGAAATCATACAGTAAATGTAACACTTTACTTGATGGGGGAGAAGGGTGATTTTGAGGTTGATAAAATCGAGCTTCTCTTCAAGTGTTATATCCTTTCTTTTACGATCATCACCGGGAATTCTATCACCAGAACGCTTCTTGTTGATATTCTTCTTTACTATATTCACAGTTAATACCACAAAATTGGAGAAATAGTAAGAGAAAATCGCGTTATAGCAAACAAGCGTTCGCGTTATACAAATATCGCTCCTAATTCATAAATCGCGTTAGAGCAAATTCGCGTTATCAAAACACGCGTTATAGCAGAACTCACTGTACTGTACAGTGCTGTAATTTTGGTTTGGTCCCCGAGATAATCTAATCACCACAAAGAGTTCCACCAAACTAGTGCATGCAATTGAGCAGCTCATAAATTAAGAGAGTTTAGTATGCCTTCAAGGGGTGATTAATAAACACCTCAAAGGACATCTGGAGTTAGCATATGCCCATCTCACTTAAGGTCACAGTTTCACATTAAAGACACCACAGGAACAGAAAACTGTCAGGGCTAAATTATTTGAAGTATGAGTTGTGAACTCTTAAGAGTAACCTGCCAGGTAATGTTGTGCCAGCACCAAGTGTGAGCTTATATTAAACAAGACTTGACCAACACTGGTGTATGTACTGTACATGTAATACATTCAAGAACCTGTGTATGCCCAGTAAATACCAATAGTGCATAATGGATAAATGACTGAACACCCAAACAGCTAGCAAGCATACCAGTGGTGAAGAGGGAAAGAGATGTTTGATGTGTGCACTAATACATTGTCAATCTACAACAAATGAAGGTTGACATATGCTTTGTCTTGATTATTTGAGGTGGAAAATTTGACAGCAAAATCAGTGATGATTAGCACTTTCAAAATTAGGTTTGCTTAGATTAAGTATTTGTATTACATTGAAAATAGGATTCATAAGATAAAATAATTTTTTAATGTATTTCTCAACAGGTATTGTAGTCCTTCATAATCATAGGATAAGTTGCATATACAGTACCGTACTCTTTATCTTAACCAAACATAGAAAAAAAATATAGTAGAGTAATTACTATTCCTTTCTTACCCATGGCATTCTACAAAAAATCTATCACCTCTGAATGGGACTACATACTGTACATTACAGTACATGACAAACTTCAGTTATGAACTCAGTCCTAACACCAGATACTGTACAGTACTGGACGTGACAATAATAAGTTACTGATAACAAGTATTGAAGACATTTTGTGTTGGTATAAGGTGGGATTCCACTATGAAAGAATAGTTAACTAATTGTAGGAAATAAACAGTAGTCAGAGTCTGTGCACCCTAAATCCCAGTATAAACACAGATGTCAACTATTACTGATTTAAAAGCTGACCTCTTTACTCCGAGGCCTCAAAATTAATGGAGCCATATACGTATTTTTTAATTTCCGAAATAAAAAAATTAACAATTTGGATTATAAAGTTATAACTTAGTTTTGTACTGTACCAACTATGTATCAGAAATTATGACTTGGGTCCTCCTGAAATATGAACAATAATTAAATGAAATCTGCCAAAGGGAAGACACTAAAGTAACCAACCCTTAAACTGTGACATCCTTCATATGAGGCCACTTGACATCCCTCACATGAATAGCCATTTCTTTAAATTGCATGCCATTCATAAGGACTGTCACATGTCCCAATAGACCTGCTTACACTACTCACACCTTAATAAGCTTCTCAATTTTCTGTCAACAAGAGTTCTTCAGTTAGTGGCAGTCCCCCCACACCAACACTCAGCTCCTCCCTCCCCTCTAGTAGCTTGGCCCCAAACACTCACTTGAGCAATGCTGGAAAGCACCTCACTAAACCCAAGAGTGTTAATAGGAAATCAAATGCTTAACTTCGAAACAGTTTATATCAAACTAGTTTATTAATATTATTAGGGAGTACAGTACTCTACCGTACTCAATATCTACCACCCTGCTCTTTGATCCTGTTGTTCGCCGTACGTACTTTGCTGTAATCCCTCAATTGGAGATAATGTTGCTTAGCATTAGGTTTCCTGAACACAACAACAAACGTCAAATGAGGGATACCTGTACCTGTATAGGACACAGTACTGTCATCATATTTTGGCAATTACTGTAGTGTACCTGTACTTCATACTGCAATTACAGTATATCTATACTGATACAGTATTTAAGGTATGTATACTATACATTATTTCTTGATACATGATGTAGACAGAGTATGAAAACCTGAAGATCAAAATTATTTACAAAAATAATTTTCACCAATTCTACTCTTTAAATAAAATTAATATTTACATCATGGCAAAATCATTCACAACATTAAATTCTAATGAGTTCACTGAAGATGCCGACAACTTTAAATAAATTCCCTGGTAAATATAATGCTGAAATCTTACACAACCAGTAAGAGAATAAAGGAATAAATTGGAAAAACACTTACCTGTATAGGTACTGTAATTAATAAAATCAATACTGTACTGTATACATAGTCAGACTGATACTATGGGTGATGATTGAAAAGAACCTTAAAGGACAATACATGAGATATCAACAGCAGAAGGTGGATTTCCTTTTTAAAAAGGGCAAAACTGTCATTAAGTCTCTCTCATAATGCAGTATAGCCACAGGTATTATTTAAAAAAGAATAGCTACTTCTAAAACATATTTCTTGAATCAGTTAAAAAGAAGAGTAGCTAAATCAATATTCACAGTAATGGTAAAAAAGTACCTATAACATTTCACTGATTACTTCTTACAACATGGTACTCAACACCATCAATCTTTACAAAGTTAACATTTGGAGGTACAACATAAGCTGGCATGGGTAAGGTTACCCTACTCACAACTCCCTCATCACTTGGAGGAATGGCATTTATTGTGTCATTTTCCTTTACGGTTGGTTCAAAGTCTTCAGGCAAGAGATCTTTGGCATTTGCTTCCATTTGTACCGGCACCATCCCAGCTTCACTCATTTCTTCCACTCGTTCCTGTTCGACATTGTCCCCCTTTTTTGCATCATTATCTATTTTGTGATCTCTAAATAAATGATACTTGAGTTTCCTGAGTGTTGGAAATGTTGAATCGCAAAGATGACATTCGTAACAACTTGAAATCTTACGACGCATCATGGCTGCGTCTTGTCGACTTTCTGTATCTCTTGAACCATAATTTGTTAGTCTGTTATGAACAGACCTTTCATGAGCATAGAGGTTACCCTGAGTATAAAATGTTTTGCAGCATACAGGACATGAAAAAGGTCTCTCACCTGTGTGAATACGTGTATGTTCTACTAGACGAGAATTGCTCCTAAAATCTTTTTTACAGAAGCCACAAGAGTATAATTTCAGTGGAGGTTTATGCATTCTACTCTTATGAGATGTTAGGTAAGGCTTTGATCTAGTACAAAAACTACAATCAGGACATTTATATTGCAGGGAACCCTCTTTATGGGTATTTGCAAGGTGAGTATTCAAATAAGATTGAAAGGCAAATTTCTTTGGGCAGATTGGACACTTAATGGTTTTTTTTTTATGTGTTGGACTCTGAGAAAAATGGTCCCTCTTATGATGCCACAAAAGACCACTGCAATTTAACAAAACTCCACAAACTTCACAGGGGCCACTTTCTTGTTTTTGATGTCTGATCAAGTTTGCCTCACTGTGATAAAGTCTTTTGCAATGCTGACAGTTAAATGGGTATCTGTTTCCATGGTCATAATCACTATGTGCACGAGAAATATGATCCCTTAAATATTGCTTCTGCGAGTACTGTTTACCACAAATATCACACACAAATGCTCTTTCCTTTGAATGTTTCACCATATGCTTTTTTAATCCATGCTTAAATGGAGTTGTAAATCCACATATATTACAAACCTGGGCTGCATGATTACCTTCTAAATGTTCTAGAAGTAACAAGGGCGAGTTAAATGTCAACGTACAATGTGAACACGTGCGGTTACCTTGATTAAAAGCAGGTTTTCCAGAATCACTTTCATCGTCATCAACTTCATCATCAGTAATCCAATCACTATAACATTCTTCTGTCTGGTCCTCCTCCTTACTAACTATTACATCTCGTGTTCCCAGCTCACTGTTCTTACCCGTCTTCTCTCTACACTTAAAAGGTACGAAAGCCCGGTCAGAATTTTCAGTGGGGTAATTTTTATCACATGTTTCACGAATGTCCTTTTTTTTACTGCTGCCTTTTCTGGGGTCAAATACTACACCAGTAAATTTTTCCTCAGCCTTTGGCTTCTTTGTTCTCTTTCTTGGCTTCTTTTTTGCTTCATCACAAGAGCCAGTATCAATTCCCCAATTAAAATCATCATCTTTGTGAGGCTTCTTCTGTTTTCTTTGTTTCAGATGTGAATGTTGTGTATCTGAAATTGAAAAAAAAAACAAATATATATATGCTCTATATATATATAATATATATACTGGTATACTATATAATAACTGTACAGTATATGTAGTTCAACTTAACAATGAGAAATAATTCTATAAAATAACACAAAATAATGACCCTAATAATGAGATCAACATTCCTGAAATAAGGGCCAGCTGTATCTGCACTATCTTTCTATAGCCTTTACTCCAACATGTGTGCAATGGTTAAAAGGATATGGAAACCACATGACAAGGAAGGTATTGTAAGAGTGGCACAACACGAGTGCAGAAGTTGACAGGCAAGGGTTGGAAAAACAAGTACCGGTAGTAATATTTTACATACACTGTCTTACACATTCCAAATGGTACAAAGTGACAACAAAATATATTTTACAGTAATAACAAACAGAATTATGAAAATTAACTAAAATTGCCATGAAAACCAAAAAGTATTCCTAGATTCAGAAAGTTTATTAAAAAAATATTTGTTCCTGTACAAACACAGATTTAGGAAATCAATACAATACAGTGTTGTATAGGCACAATCTTTCAAACAATGACAACACTCACATTGTGTAGAAACTGCAGCAGCACATTCAGCCATCTCCTTTATATCAGTGTCACTGTTAAACAATATACACGTATCAGTGTCACTGTTAAACAATGAAATGTCGCTATCATTACCATCAACGGCTGGCACCTTACGTATCACTTCCTCAATAGTTTGTTGCTGAAGATCAGTTTTTTCCTTGACAGACTCTTTGGGTTCAACAGGACTAGCAAGGGGATATTTTCTTATTTTCTCAGTTGCACATCTTATTGCTGAATTAACCTTTTTACTACCATATGTACAAACAGAAACATTCACTTTCAGAGGAGGAATGTCACATTGTGTTTCAGCATCACAAGATGGAGAAAACAATCCACAGAAGAGAACAGGGATACTCGCTCCAATATGTGTTGTAAAATCTGTTTGACAAGAGAAATTTCTGTAAACGGTAGTTCCAGTTTCTGTGTGAACCATAACAGCTTCATCTTCAATTTCCATCCCCTCCACAACAACAACCACCTCACCATTAACACCATTATTGTCTATCATATCTAAGAGTCCATTCACTCCAGTATCCCCCATTATAGCAGATACTATATCATGCTTGCATGATAAGTGTAAAATTATTCCTTTCTTCTCTCCATTTGTGAAGAACTACATGATCTGGAAGAACAGAGAGCATTAGTCATTAGGTGAACTTCATATATAAGTAAAACTGCTTATAAATGATGTGTTAAGTCAATGGTTTCTCTTCTCACATTGTGATGGACTAAGGAAGGTTGGAGAATAAATATAATTCCTTTCACTATAAACTATTTCTAGATAATATTTATTTACATAGGAAAACAAATTTACATCCAATTATTATACAGTATATAGAAACTTAACACATCAAACACCAGTTACAGTATATAGCTACAGTAAAACCTCTTAATCTCCTTGAATGTTTCTTCACAAACTGGTTTAGTTACCATATGTCAACTTCACTTACAAACTGACTTGCATTAAGATCACCAAAAGAACTCCAATGGTTTGCATTAAAAAATTAAAGGAAAAAAGATGAACCAAACAAAACATGCCTAACCTACCAATCCTAATATGATGGAAGACGGTATTATTTTAGGTTAGGTTTAGTAGGTTAATTTAATTTGTTAGATTGTGTTTAATAGGTTATTCAACATTAGGTTTTTAAATATGGTTAAGGAAGGTATGGAAAGGTTTCGTTGGTTGCTGAGATGCATCTGTCAACAGGTGAAACACACATATGGTTTCCTCGGGTGGATGGAGGGGAAAACAAAAATACAAAAATTGCATTTCTTCCATCTGTTTTGGGATATATTTGAGGAAAGAAGTTAACTTCTATAGAATTTTTGTAATTGGCCAAGAAGGGTTGTAAAGAAGATAAAAACGAAAATTTGTAAATACGTGATCTCAGACTTCTAACTAAGGTATTGTACTTTAGGACATGGCGCGGCCCAAGGGTTAGGTTAGGTTAGATGACTCGTTTTCGTGTTCTTCCCCACCCAAAACCCCAATTTCCAGGTTTTCCCCCATTATTGTTGGGTGGGGTGGGGTGTTGGGGGGGTGGGGTGGGGACGGATATAAATTTCCGACAAAAATGATGGTCATGTTCGCTTAAAACACACAAAAATACGGTACATTATTAGTATCATACCGGTCTTTATCTCCGTATTAAAAATATGTATCTCGTAATGTCTACACAATTCTAAGACATTTTTCTTCAATGATATTTCCACCAGAAATTAAAGATAACAGAGATATTAATTTTTCAAGATTATTACTTTTGCTCAGTCAAAAGTGTGACCAAGATACGTTTGGTTGTGGCGGTGATGGTCTGACCCCCTGCTCACGCATCGCTCCAGGCCTCCGACAGGGGGCTGGTTAGGTTAAGTTTTTAATATCGAAATAAAGACCAGTGTGATACTATAACCTGACACATTCTAATACCCATAGACAGAACGGTGCCTAATATAAACTGACAACTTCGGTTTGTTCCTGTTCTAACACTGGACCCTGAGTGTTACCTTAAATATGAACAAAGCTTCACTTACTTGCATTTTAATTAATAATTGATCTTAATGTAGCCGTCATTCTACCTTAAATCACCTCCACGGGACTTATTTTAGTGACAAAATTAATAAAACTCGATGTTTTTCAGTGGAAGATCAACGCTGTCACTCACATTGTTTACTAATACAAACGATATATTGAGCCACAGATGGAGCTGGTGTACCACCTTAAGCCAGCCACACATGACTACTACTACCATTAATGTACTTATTACATGACGGCTCTATAAACTACTACCATTAATAACATTATCTTTTTATTATTACAAGCACTTTACCGTTAATGATAACGCTGCATGGCTGTACAGTACAGAGTATAAGCAATGCTAACTCCAAACTTCACGGTTTAGGGAAGGAGGAATTCTGTGAATGAGGAAAGTTCAAATGGGTGAAGTTTGAAGAAGTGCAAATGGCCTGAATAGGGAAGTAATAAGGATGAGGCTAGTGCCCTCCTAGGCCCTTTATACTTAGGGTCCATGGAGAACTCCTGGGCTCTTTATATTTGGGGCCCATTTTGCCCTCCTGGAACCTTTAACCTTTATATGTGGGGTCCATGGTGCCCGTCTGGGCCCTTTATATGAGCTCCAAGGTGCCCTCCTGGGCCCTTTATATGTGGGGTCCATGGTGTCTTCCTGGGCCCTTTATATGTGGGCTCCATGGTACCCTCCTGGGCCCTTCATGCGGGGTTAAAGGTGCCATCTTGGGCCCTTTACATGTGGGGTCCATGGTGTCCTCATGGGCCGCTTATATCTGGGGTCCATGGTGCCCTTCTGGGCCCTTTGTGGGGTCCATGGTACCTGCCCTCCTGGGCCCTTTATATTTGGGGTTTATGGTGGCCTCAAGGGCCCTTCTGAGCCCTACATGCCCCTTTCATCCTCCTGGCCTTTTATATTTAGAGCATAACCGTCTGTTATTCCTGTTCCCCAACACTCACTCTTTTCCTCCTTGGGGACCAGCAAGGCTTCTCATTCTCTCAGTGAATCATCACTTATGTAAACTCTGGTAGGCCTTCAGTCCTATAATCCTTCACTATCATAACTAGTATCCTCTTTACACCACATTTTATTCTCAAGCACACAATTTCCACTGTTTTCTACTCACTCATTCATCTTGCATCCAGAATCCCAAATGCTTCACATCCATCCAATATTGTTAACTTAAATAAGTAATCCATGTATATTCCCATCTTTGCCTCCTTTATTTTATAGTTTCACCAATTATTAACTTACTATCCATTTGGGCAGCTGGTCTGCCTTTTGTTATGACCTTCATTGTCCAGTGTTATTGCAGGAGAAAACCTGTGATTTTTGGTCGGGTCACACTGGATAACACCCTTCCCACACCTTCTTCAAGCCATTCTTTTACTGTAGTTCAACCCAGGACACAATAGTGAGAGTTATTCACATTACACAGCATTGTTACACCAATGTTTCAGGAATTAAAAGATGACTGCTCCACTGGAGGTCTCAATCTCAAGCAAAAGAAGCTACCAGCACTCAATACTATCAGAACAAACTTATTTTGGCTGAGAGTTTTGAAGTCATTGTATAAAGGTGGTGGTACAGTAGTAACGAGCAAATATATCACCACTGTATCCCGAGTTCAAATTTAAGGTCCTGACCCAGGACACAGACGGAAAAGATGTTATCCCCTGCAACCCCACCAAACATCTCAGGTTTCCTCGTGATATTCTGGTGCCCTCCTGTACTAAAACTGAACAATAAACTTCAAAACAAAGTACAGTACTGTACAATACATATAATAAAGAATACACCAACCACCTGAATGCCTAGTGAACTCATAACTGGTGAAATAATAAATCATAAACAATGAATGTTGACAGAAAACAATTTACAATCTCTTTAAAACCCAGGCTAGACCGGCATTGATTTAGATAAGTTCAAGGGCCTGTGCATACAAAGAAGTTGCTAGCTGCACAAAACAAAGATGTTTCCAACAAGCAACTTGTAAAAAGCCAACAAATGAAGAAAAGTTTAAGTCAGTGGTGGGGAAACTTTGATGAAGAAATTGAATTGAAACTATACGAAAAAAAAAAGTCCTGGGTGTTTATACGGATAACTGGCTTTGGCAAAGATCATACTCATCCCTTGATGGTCCGTCCCTCATACAGCTCTTCATTGCCTTGGTGTTTCTCAACTTGCAGTACTGTACAGTACTGTAATTTTGTTTGGTCCCCGAGATAATCTAAACATCAAAAAGAGTTCCACCAAACTAGTGCATGCAATTGAGCAGCTCATAAATTAAGAGAGTTTAGTATGCCTTCAAGGGGTGATTAATTAACACCTCAAAGGACATCTGGAGTTAGCATATGCCCATCTCACTTAAGGTCACAGTTTCACATTAAAGACACCACAGGAACAGAAAACTGTCAGGGCTAAATTATTTGAAGTAAAAGTTGTGAACTCTTTAAGAGTAACCTGCCAGGTAATGTTGTGCCAGCACCAAGTGTGAGCTTATATTAAACAAGACTTGACCAACACTGGTGTATGTACTGTACATGTAATACATTCAAGAACCTGTGTATGCCCAGTAAATACCAATAGTGCATAATGGATAAATGACTGAACACCCAAACAGCTAGCAACCATACCAGTGGTGAAGAGGGAAAGAGATGTTTGATGTGTGCACTAATACATTGTCAATCTACAACAAATGAAGGTTGACATATGCTTTGTCTTGATTATTTGTGGTGGAAAATTTGACACCAAAATCAGTGATGATTAGCACTTTCAAAATTAGGTTTGCTTAGATTAAGTATTTGTATTACATTGAAAATAGGATTCATAAGATAAAAAAAAAATTAATGTATTTCTCAACAGGTATTGTAGTTCTTCATAATTATAGGATAAGTTGCATATACAGTACCGTACTCTTTATCTTAACCAAACATAGAAAAAAAATATAGTAGAGTAATTACTATTCTTTTCTTACCCATGGCATTCTACAAAAAATCTATCACCTCTGAATGGGACTATATACATTACATGACAAACTTCAGTTATGAACTCAATCCTAACACCAGATACTGTACAGTACTGGACTTGACAATAATAAGTTACTGATAACAAGTATTGAAGACATTTTGTGTTGGTATAAGGTGGGATTCCACTATGAAAGAATAGTTAACTAATTGTAGGAAATAAACAGCAGTCAGAGTCTGTGCACCCTAAATCCCAGTATAAACACAGATGTCAACTATTACTGATTTAAAAGCTGACCTCTTTACTCCGAGGCCTCAAAATTAATGGAGCCATATACGTATTTTTTACTTTCAGAAATAAAAAACTGAACAATTTGGATTATAAAGTTATAACTTAGTTTTGTACTGTACCAACTTTGTATCAGAAATTATGACTTGGGTCCTCCTGAAATATGAACAAAAATTAAATGAAATCTGCCAAGGGGAAGAGACTAAAGTAACCAACCCTTAAACTGTGACATCCTTCATATGAGGCCACTTGACATCCCTCACATGAGTAGCCATTTCTTTAAATTGCATGCCATTCATAAGGACTGTCACATGTCCCAATAGACCTGCTTACACTAATCACACCTTAATAAGCTTCTCAATTTTCTGTCAACAAGAGTTCTTCAGTTAGTGGCAGTCCCCCCACACCAACACTCAGCTCCTCCCTCCCCTCTAGTAGCTTGGCCCCAAACACTCACTTGAGCAATGCTGGAGAGCACCTCACTAAACCCAAGAGTGTTAATAGGAAATCAAATGCTTAACTTTGAAACAGTTTATATCAAACTGGTTTATTAATATTATTAGGGAGTACAACACTCTACCGTACTCAACATCTACCACCCTGCTCTTTGATCCTGTTGTTCGCCGTACGTACTTTGCTGTAATCCCTCAATTGGAGATAATGTTGCTTAGCATTAGGTTTCCCGAAAACAACAACAAACGTCAAATGAGGGATACCTGTATCTGTATAGGACACAGTACTGTCATCATATTTTGGCAATTACTGTAGTGTACCTGTACTTTATACTGCAATTACAGTATATCTATACTGACACAGTATTTTAGGTACACTGTACAATATTTCTTAATACATGATGTAGACAGAGTATGAAAACCTGAAGATCAAAATTATTTACAAAAATAATTTTCACCAATTCTACCTTTTAAATAAAAGTAATATTTACGTCATGGCAAAATCATTCACAACATTAAATTCTAATGAGTTCACTGAAGATGCTGACAACTTTAAATAAATTCCCTGGTAAATATAATGCTGAAATCTTACACAACCAGTAAGAGAATAAAGGAATAAATTGGAAAAACACTTACCTGTATAGGTACTGTAATTAATAAAATCAATACTGTACTGTATACATAGTCAGACTGATACTATGGGTGATGATTGAAAAGAACCTTAAAGGACAATACATGAGATATCAACAGCAGAAGGTGGATTTCCTTTTTAAAAAGGGCAAAACTGTCATTAAGTCTCTCTCATAATGCAGTATAGCCACAGGTATTATTTAAAAAAAAATAGCTACTTCTAAAACATATTTCTTGAATCAGTTAAAAAGAAGAGTAGCTAAATCAATATTCAAAGTAATGGTAAAAAAGTGCCTATAACATTTCACTGATTACTTCTTACAACATGGTACTGAACACCATCAATCTTTAACAGTTGGAGGCACAACATAAGCTGGCATGGGTAAGGTTACCCTACTCACAACTTCATCACTTGGAGGAATGGCATATATTGTGTCATTTTCCTTTACGATTGGTTCAAAGTCTTCAGGCAAGAGATCTTTGGTACTTGTTTCCATTTGTACCGGCACCATCCCAGCTTCATTCATTTCTACCACTCGTTCCTGTTCGACATTGTCCCCCTTTTTTGCATCATTATCTATTTTGTGATCTCTAAATAAATGATACTTGAGTTTCCTGAATGTTGGAAATGTTGAATCGCAAAGATGACATTCGTAACAACTTGAAATCTTACGACGCATCGTGGCTGCGTCTTGTCGACTTTCTGTATCTCTTGAACCATAATTTGTTAGTCTGTTATGAACAGACCTTTCATGAGCATAGAGGTTACCCTGAGTATAAAATGTTTTGCAGCACACAGGACATGAAAAAGGTCTCTCACCTGTGTGAATACGTGTATGTTCTACTAGACGAGAATTGCTCCTAAAATCTTTTTTACAGAAGCCACAAGAGTAGAATTTCAGTGGAGGTTTATGCATTCTACTCTGATGAGATGTTAGGTAAGGCTTTGATCTAGTACAAAAACTACAATCAGGACATTTATATTGCAGGGAACCCTCTTTATGGGTATTTGCAAGGTGAGTATTCAAATAAGATTGAAAGGCAAATTTCTTTGGGCAGATTGGACACTTAATAGTTTTTTTTTTATGCGTTGTACTTTTATGCAACAGTAATGTATTCCTAGACTGAAATCCTTTTTTGCAATTCTCACCCTGAGAAAAATGGTCCCTCTTATGATGCCACAAAAGACCACTGCATTTTAACATAACTCCACAAACTTCACAGGGGCCACTTTCTTGTTTTTGATGTCTCATCAAGTTTGCCTCACTGTGATAAAGTCTTTTGCAATGCTGACAGTTAAATGGGTATCTGTTCCCATGGTCATAATCACTATGTGCACGAGAAATGTGCCCCTTTAAATATTGCTTGTGAGAGTACTGCTTACCACAAATATCACACACAAATGCTCTTTCCTTTGAATGTTTCACCATATGCTTCTTTAATCCATGCTTAAATGGAGTTGTAAACCCACATATACTACAAACATGGGCTGCATGATTACCTTCTAAATGTTCTAGAAGTAACAAGGGCGAGTTAAATGTCAACGTACAATGTGAACACGTGCGGTTACCTTGATTAAAAGCAGGTTTTCCAGAATCACTTTCATCATCATCAACTTCATCATCAGTAATCCAATCACTATAACATTCTTCTGTCTGGTCCTCCTCCTTACTAACTATTACATCTCGTGTTCCCAGCTCACTGTTCTTACCTGTCTTCTCTCTATATTTAAAAGGTACGAAAGCCCGGTCAGAATTTTCAGTGGGTGAATTTTTATCGCATGTTTCACTAATGTCCTTTATTTTAATGGTGCCTTTTCTGGGGTCAAATACTACACCAGTAAATTTTTCGTCAGCCTTTGGCTTCCTTGTCCTCTTCCTTGGCTTCTTTTTTGCTTCATCACAATTAAAATCATCAACTTTGCGTGGCTTCTTCTGTTTTCTTTGTTTCAGATGTGAATGTTGTGTATCTGAAATTGAAAAAACAAAAAATATATATATATGCTCTATATATATATATAATATATATACTGGTATACTGTATAATAACTGTATACTGTATGTACTAACTTCAACTTAACAATGAGAAATAATTCTATAAAATAACACAAAATAATGACCCTAATAATGAGATCAACATTCCTCAAATAAGGGCCAGCTGTATCTGCACTATCTTTCTATAGCCTTTACTCCAACATGTGTGCAATGGTTAAAAGGATATGGAAACCACATGACAAGGAAGGTATTGTAAGAGTGGCACAACACGAGTGCAGAAGTTGACAGGCAAGGGTTGGAAAAACAAGTACCGGTAGTAATATTTTACATACACTGTCTTACACATTCCAAATGGTACAAAGTGACAACAAAATATATTTTACAGTAATAACAAACAGAATTATGATAATTAACTAAAATTGCCATGAAAAAACAAAAAGTATTCCTAGATTCAGAAAGTTTTTGAAAAAATATTTGTTCCTGTACAAACACAGATTTAGGAAATCAATACAATACAGTGTTGTATAGGCACAATCTTTCAAACAATGACAACACTCACATTGTGTAGAAACTGCAGCAGCACATTCAGCCATCTCCTTTATATCAGTGTCACTGTTAAACAATATACACGTATCAGTGTCACTGTTAAACAATGAAATGTCGCTATCATTACCATCAACGGCTGGCACCTTACGTATCACTTCCTCAATAGTTTGTTGCTGAAGATCAGTTTTTTCCTTGACAGACTCTTTGGGTTCAACAGGACTAGCAAGGGAATATTTTCTTATTTTCTCAGTTGCACATCTTATTGCTGAATCAACCTTTTTACTACCATATGTACAAACAGAAACATTCACTTTCAGAGGAGGAATGTCACATTGTGTTTCAGCATCACAAGATGGAGAAAACAATCCACAGAAGAGAACAGGGATACTCGCTCCAATATGTGTTGTAAAATCTGTTTGACAAGAGAAATTTCTGTAAACGGTAGTTCCAGTTTCTGATGCGTCAACCATAACAGCTTCATCTTCCATTTCCATCCCCTCCACAACAACAACCACCTCACCATTAACACCAATATTGTCTCATATCGAAGAGTCCATTCACTCCCAAAGACTATTATAAGAAAGACGGGAAAGCGACTTCCTTTATCGATAAAAGAAACGTAAGCCACTGAGTTCCGATCAACGCCATCTGTTGGCAACGGGCTAACTTAAAGCCCACGGTGTGTAAGGATAGTGTGTCCATGGTAACCAGTGAAGTAAGCTGATAATACCTTGACGTCTTTGCCTTGACATTCTTAATGTGTACACATGCACACACACATACACACTTACACACACACATACAAAATCACACAGTAAATTCTATATGATCAATGATATATAGCAACATAATAATTTAATATTGAGTAGAATATTCATGTACCCGGTAATACAGTATACTGTAATTATAATTACATACTTACAAGATGTGCATAACATGAATATAGTGTACTTTTATGCATTCTATACATACACAAATAAATACATGTTAATGCACTGATTTTTCTGTTTGATAGATAGATTGATTGCTATTTAGAGAGAACATTTGGCAGGTAGGCTCACAAACGTCATTATTCAGGGTAACTTTACCTTTTGTATTAGCCCGTTTAATTCTATCACTGCCTGTAATTTTCCAAGAGCCGTGAGCTATCATGTGCAGCCCATGTGATGGGTATTTTCCACTCTCTGTAGACCTTAGATCAGCTAATGAGAGCATATCCGAGATGAGCTCCGTCCTCTTCTAACACTTACAGCTTACAGTGTTAATTTCGGATTATCCTTATTGACTGTTCATAATATATTTTCATAAATAAATAGAGAAAAGACTATTTGGGTTTTGCAAACTTAACCCATAAACATTTTACATGTAACAGTTGAGTTACCTCTCAAGAGTCAAGCTCAGGTAACCACAAACAGCTACATAAGATAACAGTGGTGTCAGCTACATAACTACACAGTTACATAATGTGACAGCTCCACAAGTGGCTGTTACAAGTGGTGACAGCTCTAAGGTTGTTACATATATGACAGCTTCACAAGTAGCTGTTATACAAAGGTAGCAGTCACATAGCCGTTACACTTTCATAATCTTCAATAAGTTGACTTAAATGTTATTTTTATCAATATTGTTATTAATGTGTTCTTGAAAAATACTTTCAAGCTGTGATACAATATCAATAATTGTCTGACTTGCATACTTAAGATACTTTGAATTTTCAGAATCTCTATGATGTAAATAAATATTTTTCACATATACATGGTCTTTTAATTTATGGCATATGTAACCTGATATATAGTATATGTTTTAGCATTTTGTTCAACCGTATCTCATCATATCATTCACAATTTAATAAAAATTGATTTAATCTATTAGTAAGCAAATATTTGAAAGCATAATTTGCACTTTTGTTCTCCCAAAAAGATCTCAAACTTGCAATACTTAGCTGCCACCCTGCAATAATGGAATGAAGCTGTTATTTCCTATTAATGTTATGGAGGCCATCCAATTCTTAAAAGTACTAAGATTTTCTATTTGGCCATTATCCAATGTTAATGCACATCTATTACTTTTATAATGATTTATAAGACTACTATTAAATGTATCAAAATGTTTATCCATTTCATTGATAAATTTTGCTGTTTCTTTTGCTTCAACAGGCACAGAGAACCTACGGTAGTTCAGCATACGTATTGATGCCAGCTGCCACATTTCTACTGAATACCTGCGCAGCTAAACATACTTGCATTTTTTCAAATGAAATGTAATATATGTGCTTAGCTGTCAGTTTTGGGGCTAATTTCAGGGACATGCTACTATCTCTATTAAAATTTTTCAATATAAGTAAATCCAATACCTAAGCATACGTGGTGTGGGAAGAATAAATAACCATGATAAAAATTTGTACAATTTTGAATTTACGAAATATAAGCTTAATGCTAGAGAGCGTTGGGCCTTAGCGTAACGTCGTCTCTTTTTTATATACTATATATAACTCCTCATTAATTGTGCTTTAAAAAATTCTAGTCCATATCCACCGCAATATTTTGAGGCATTTTTAATAATTCTGGATGTTATCAAACATATTAACAAATTTGGCCTACCCTTTTCAAGATCGGAACCTTATCTAATAATCTGTTGCACCTTGCTTTGTATTTTTGTACAAGGTGGTATTTTTTGGATCTAGTGCGAGATGTTTTCTTCATAGCAAAATTATTAGCTGAAAATTATGAATAATGTTATTATCATATACACTATCAAGTTCAAATATAGCACATATCAGAGCAGAACTGTAATGTTCATATCTGATGGTACCTTTAAAGGAATTTCTACACAACTCAATAAAATCAGTACATCACTGTACACAAAACGTTTGAAATCGTAAAATTATTTATGTTTTGTAAGATGAGATGAACTGCTGTTGTAAAAGAAATTCTGCACTGTATAGTACTGCATAATACTTTACAACATTCTTGTACCGTATTTACAGCATGTGTTGCACCAATGCCATATGGCCAAGGAAAGATCAATACAGTATCAGTATTGTATATGAGATGTTACAGTGCAGTACAGTATCAAATATTACTGCAATTTACACCATATGATTGGAACATTCAAGGTAAATAATATATATCAATACTGTAAGAAATCCATATTACACAGAAGTCTATGATTCAATAAACATGTTTATATATACAGTACTGCAACTGTAGACACAAGTATTGTACAGTTTAATGATAGTAATACCAGTATAAGCAATAAGCAAAATATTTTCAAGCAAAACCTACCACATTCTGAATGCCCAGCAATCCGTTCATCAACTGAAACAACTGGAGCAGGGAGAGCAGGGCACAGTGACTTAGTTCTGTAAGTTTCACTTTTGCCTGGTGTGACAGGTGGTGGTGGTGGTATGGTCCTAGCAGAATTGCCATCTGAAAATTTTGAATACAATTATAGTATTGCTGTACAGTATACCAATTTGTTGTTCTTCCCTTGTACAAAACATGTACATAAAGTACAATCGCATTACAATGTACATTTTTACATAACCTAAGTTATGCTTAACTTTATTTTGGTGGTTTCAGCTAAGAAATACTGTGCAGCACTATACAGCACATTTTTCTTGTATTACATGTACAGTATGCAATATACATGTACACCTTAGCAAGACAGCAAAAAGTCAGATATCATTAGGAAAAGGTCAATAACAAACCATACAACACAGTTTAACACCTATGACAATTCACACTTTATAATTATCACATTCAAGTTACACATAACCATAATTTGCAAATTTACAATAAACAGTAATGTAAGAATCAATTATTGCATCCCTTTGTAACAGTAAATATATGTTATATGCAGTAACCATCATAAGAGCATATCAAATAAACAAACAAACATTCAATTGTTTCTTACCAAGTTCTGATTGTCTAGTAACTACTTCTTTCCCTGAAAGAGCTGGGTCAGGAAATGCAGGATCCCAACTTTCTCGTGTCAAAATGACATCAAATTCCACCGTACTTGCCAGGTCTGTAGAGATTATTTAGTATATAAAAGGTCAAAATCCTACATTTTTTTTATGGAATTTTCCAGGTTCAAATACAGTACAGTACAGTACATCATAAACTTTACCATCTATAAGAATAATACTGTACTGTACTAACATTTAACATTATATGCATATGTGCATGAGAACTTAAGAATGGCGAGCAAACTATAAACAGGTGTACTACACATACCTAAATCATCAAAGTCATATTGAAGGTCCCTGGGTCTCACATCAGTTGTATAGTCTACACTGATTTCTTTTTCAATGTTACCTGAACCTGGAATAGATTTGATCATGTCCAGGAAATACAGCATGGAAAACGGTAAACAGTGTTTACAATATTTACATGTACAATAATAGTACAATTTAAAAATTTCATATCACTTAATACTGTAATCATCAAATCTAATGCACATTTATGAACAGATAATTCATTATAAGTACTGTACAGTAACTCTCAACAAATTCTATGTATATCGGTGACAAAAGCCTGATCTCATACTGCACCTTGAGTTGATCCATCAAAAGCACTTTCATAGCTGCAGTTTGCTGCAATAGAGGAACTATCCCTAGCATTATCTGAAAGTTTGAATGTTTGCATATCATTGGTATGCAGCTTATCTTTGTCCACAAATAACTCATAACAACACTATACAGTACTTTATATAAGTTATATAAAAAAGGAAATACAAAATCATATACCTGGTAGGTTATCTTCATATCTATTATTCTGGTATATATAAAACAGGAAATATAGTTTCTCTTCATATCTACTGTATTCATGCATGTTCTTACCTGTAAGGTTCTGATCTGGACATGCAAGTTTGGTGAGCCTAGAATGGGGTGTTCCATTAATATAATTCTTAGGTGAAAAGTGGAAGCTACAGATGTTACAGCTTCTGTTTAGTTGCTCATATGTCTTCTTGTGTAATATTGGTTGGTTAACAGCACTGAGCCATTGAAGGCATCTGAAATGTAAGCATAGAGAATAGTGAATATGTCCATTTATAATAATTTTCCCGCAAATGTGTAACCACATGATGAACTTGTACTGTCATTACCAAACACCAATCAAACTGAAGTAAGTGATGGGAAAGGTGAGAAGACATTACAGTAAAGGAGAGATTCAGTACCATGTTTGCACTCATATTTCATTAAACTGTATCATTAAATTCATAAAATGTTTTAATTGATCCAAGAAATATATTGGCTGACATCAAGAAGACTTTGAAGTAAATGTTTACAAGAGTTTTACCAGCCTCATCTTATAATTATAGTACCTGCCGACTACTCACATTCTATTCATGTACTGTACTACTCTATATTGGTATTTCGTGTGAAAATAAGGCACAATGGTGACATGTTTGGAGCTTTTTCTTGGTAACACTTGCTTTTATATGCTTTTATCTTTTATAACATAAAACACTTGCCAACAAGACAATACATTTAACTGATCATAATTATGCTAAAAAGAAAATATATTACTAAAAATGGGCTATCTCTGTTGATTAGGATTCGCACCACGACTTCAAATACATTGCTGCGAACACCAAACTTTCGTCATTGCTGTAATCACCAAACTTTTGATATGTTTAACATTTCATTATCTATTTCCCTTTATATAGGTACTATACATTGAAAACAATGGTGCTATTACCTTTTTCTGTCTTTGGGGAAAACGTGAAACACAAGCACAGGGTGATCCGTTTTTGTACGTGTGCATACGACACAAGGGTGATGGTGACGCCCACTCATGGTTAAATGTCCTGGTCTTCGTCTAAACAAACAGACGACGTACAGACGACCCGCGCCTTGCACACTAACGTCATCTATTGATCCCGCGGCCAACTATATGCTATGTGGCTTACGCAGTTTTCACCTTGCTTTCCCATCTTTCTTATACTGTATAGTCTTTGGTTCACTCCAGTATCCCCCATTATAGCAGATACTATATCATGCTTGCATGATAAGTGTAAAATTATTCCTTTCTTCTCTCCATTTGTGAAGAACTACATGATCTGGAAGAACAGAGAGCAATAGTCATCAGGTGAACTTCATATATAAGTAAAACTGCTTATAAATGATGTGTTAAGTCAATGGTTTCTCTTCTCACATTGTGATGGACTAAGGAAGGTTGGAGAATAAATATCATTCCTTTCGCTACAAACTATTTCTAGATAATATTTATTTACATAGGAAAACAAATTCACATCCAATTATTATACAATATATAGAAACTTAACACATCAAACACCAGTTACAGTGTATAGCTACAGTAAAACCTCTTAATCTCCTTGAATGTTTCTTCACAAACTGGTTTAGTTACCAGTATGTCAACTTCACTTACAAACTGACTTGCATTAAGATCACCAAAAGAACTCCAATGGTTTGCATTAAGAAATTAAAGGAATAAAAGATGAACCAAAAAAGAAATGCCTAACCGAACTATTATTTTAGGTTAGGTTTAGTAGGTTAATTTAGTTTGTTAGATTGTGTTTAATAGGTTATTCAACATTAGGTGTTTAAATATGGTTAAGGAAGGTATGGAAAGGTTTCGTTGGTTGCTGAGATGCATCTGTCAACAGGTGAAACACACATATGGTTTCCTCGGGTGGATGGAGGGGAAAACAAAATTTTAAAAATTGCATTTCTTCCATCTGTTTTGGGATATATTTGAGAAAAGAAGTTAACTTCTATAGAATTTTTGTCTAAAGTTACTTGTTAATGTGGCACAATGTCTTATAATATTACCCAAAAATTTGGCAAAGACTTGATTTATATAGTCTTTGTTGTTGTCAAGACTAAAAATAAACAAGTGGGAAAAAATCTATAACGAAATATGTAACAATTAATTTGAGGCAGCAACGTAAGGCAAACATCCACTCTAAATCTCCTGATTTATAAAATACAAGTACAAAAGTCCTCGTTTAGCGTCGGTCACATTCCTTAAAATGCAGTGTTATACGAAACAACGTAGCAGGTATTAGGCAGCTACCAAATAGGGAGGTACTACCGCCTGGGAAGATATTGGAAGCATAATGTCTTGTCTAATGGTAGACCCTGCT